TCGGAAACCGTTTTCCAACAACCACACAAAGGAAAAAGGCGCGGTTAGTTTAGTGGTTAGAATCCTCGCTTCCCATCACATCTTGGTCTAGCGAGGGACCCGGGTTCGAATCCCGGATCGCGCAATTGCGCCTTATCCTTCTCTTTTACTTTTTTCGTCCTTTTTTCTCAGTCAACTGTATGATGTCATGAGCTGCTGTTTTGTACCAATTTGGTTTGGTTTTTTGGATAGCTTAAATATGTGTTGCTGACAGAGGACTTGTGGTTGTCATAAAGAGCTGTTTTTTGTGCATCAAGTTGTGGTTGTCACTTGAACAGAGAGGAGTTGGCTGGGTGGGTGTTGTTGTTGGAGGAGGGGTCTTGGCGGGGTAATACGAGCGGACATCACCAACCTTTGTCATTACCACTGTTCTCAACATCACGACTCATCAGCATCATGTGGCCAGATTTTGAAAAGGGCATCGCTATTCCTCCCGGGAGGAATGGTATTATTAAACGGCCATCAAGACGAAAACAATTCCTGATTGTTTTGTCGCTTTCTCTTCTTGGGGTCTTCTTCACACTCCAACACTGGCTGCGAGATCAACAACTCACCTTCCTCATCAACCACCACCCCCACCATTATGAAGCCCTCCCACCTCTAAAGTTCAAAAAAGACGGCACCTTCCAACTGAGCATCTTTTCCGACCTCCATTTCGGCGAGAGTATGTATGCCCTCCTTTTCGACCCTCTCATCCTCTTAGCTCTATTTGATACCCACCTACCACTCACCCTCTCCCCTCATACCTATCTACCATGAACTTTGGCCAGAATAATGACACAGGCCTTCTGACTGAGACTGAGAGGTGTAAATAACAGATGCATGGGAACCCTGGGGCCCCCGCCAAGACATCCACTCCCTCCGCGTGATCAACACCGTTCTTGATCAGGAACCAACCACCGATTTTGTGGTTTTAAACGGGGATTTGATCACTGGGGAGAATGTCTATTTGGAAAACGGGACGGGGTATGTTGATTTGATAGGGAAAGAGTTGGACAAGAGGGGGGTGGAATGGGGGAGCACATACGGGAATCATGATTCTGATTATAACCTATCACCAACCAGAATATATGAACGGGAGAAGAGGTTTAGGGGAGTAGGACGGGGAGGATGGCGCCTGGCACAGAGGGGGAGGTGGGGGTAAGTAATTACTATTTACCTGTGTATGATTATGATGGGAAGAGGGTGGAGATGATACTGTGGTTTTTTGACAGTCGGGGGGGTTATAAGTTTCAAGAGGGGGGTGAACAAAACAAAAAGGGACGGGAGAATTGGGTGCATCCCAAGGTGGTGGGGTGGTTTAAGGAGACGAGGGAGAGGTTGAGGAGGGAGAATCGGGGGAGGGGTGTGCCGGGGCTGGGGTTTGTGCATATACCTACTACGGCTTTTTTGGAGGTGCAGGAAAGGGGGGTAGATGGGAGGAGACAGCCTGGGATTGATAAGGATAGGCCGGTTAATAGGCAGGGGGAGGGGTGGTGTGCTGATGGGGGGAATGGGGAAGGGTGTGAGTATGGTGGGCAGGATGGGGAGTTTATGGAGGTGGTGATGGAGGAGGGGCTGTTGGGGTTGTTTGTGGGGCATGATCATGGGGATACGTGGTGTTCGGATTATGAAAAGGAGGGGAAGAGGATGTATTTGTGTTTTGGGCAGCATACGGGGTATGGAGGGTATGGGGATTGGATTAGGGGGTCTAGGCAGGTGGCGGTTTCGATTGAGGGGTTGAGGCAGAGAGAAATGGATACGTGGGTTAGGTTGGAGAGTGGGAAGGCGGTGGGGAGGGTGAGGTTGAATGAGAGTTATGGAAGGGATGAGTACGAAGCTGTGGAGGATGAGAGGACGCACTTGCCGGTTGATGATGAGAGTAAGGAGTGATGATTGTTAAGTATGAAGCTAACTACGTCCGCCATTCATGTCCAAATGAGTGACTGAGGTAAGTACACGACAATTCCGTCCTTCTGATTCCGACCTCCGCCCAGTTCATCCTCCATCTTCCAAGGCACTGACTACTGACTACCAATTACTGGGAAGGCTTGTTATCGACCAAGGTGATCTCAAACGCGCTGGGTCCCTTGCGCTCATTCTTCAACTGCGGAGGGAAAGCCTCGGACTCGACAATGTCGACCTCGTTGGTCTTCTCATTCCACTGGAAGTAGATGGAGCCGACGGAGAGGTAGACACCAGTCTTCTCGTCGCGCAGGAACACACCGGTCGTCACAGGAGGGCCGCCAGCTGGGAGAATACCCACCAGGTGCCACTCGAGCGGATCCTCGTTGGACTTGATGAGGACGGTGCCGACATCACGAGCGTCGATCTTGATGGAATACTGCAGGGGAGTGCCGCCGGTGCTGTCCTTGAATTGGAAGGAAATGGCGCGGGTGTTGTGCTCGACGACCTTGAAGCGGGAGAGACCGCCAATGTCGGAGATGTCAGGGTTGGGACCCTCCCTGTGGCGATGTCAGTAATGCTTTCACGCTGAAGAGTCTGTTCAGAGAAGAACTTACCACTCGCGGTATTTGCCCGACTCGTTGTAGTGCTGCCAGGCAATGACCTTGGCGTTGGTGCCCACGTTGACGGACAGGAACTTGTCGTTGAGCGAGCCGGGAACGCTGACGTCTGCTCCAATAGAGTAGGGGTACTCGTCGCCTTCGAACTGCTTCTTGACGTAGAACTTGGCGGTGCTGGGGTCAACGTGGGGAGCCATTTTGATGAGTTGTGTGGGGTTTGGTGATGTGGTTTGTGTAGGTGTTGTGTTGAAGTTGTTTAAGCTGGTAAGATGATGATTAAGGTACTGTGTGGATGAGGAGGTTGTGAGAGGTTTGAGCCGTGGAGGGCAGCTCTCTTTATACATGTTGGCCGTGATACGTATCCCCCGACGGAACCACTCGTCCTTTGACTTCCGCTTGCTTCTGTAGAAGATCTACTGGGTGCATTGTCACTTCAGCTGTGGCATCATCCATGATGCCAATCTCGTCTGATCACACGGAAGTCAAGGCGGAGATCCATAGGCCCAAAGCAAGGAATAGCAAGACATCAGGATTGTCGCGATGCCTGTCGTGCATCTCTCCTCGAAGCGGATTGGAGGTGAGCGTCGGCTAGGGCGCTGATGGGCGGTTGTTTTGTTAGAATCGGGACCGAATGAACCCTCTTAACTGGCACCTGTGCCACAGTCAGATGACGCGATGTGCCATATCCGTGGTGTTGAGAAGCTCTCTGCTGAGGACAATTTACGTAAAATGTTCGATCGGGTCATTCCGAGACAACGACCCTTGTGCTGAGCTGTGCTAGGATCTACAACGTCCGGTCTGTAGCTTCGGTCCGGTCCGTGTGATGGTAAGCGATGAGTGGTTGATGATCTGAGACCGGATGCAAGCCACAGATCCTCGAGGCTACAGCACCGCGAACCACAAGCTTTCTGGGCGGTTCTGAGGAGGGGCTGTTGTGATACATTGTGAGACACCAGCCATCATGAAATTCCGTGTGGAAGTGATGTGCGAGTCTTAGCGTCGATGACAAAAAAAGGCGTCAAAAGTGGGGGGACCGGCTTCTCTGGGGCGTAAGCTCACATTCTTGGGCGGATGCGGCGGTTTTAGAACATCTCTGTTTACATCCAGTCAGGGGCTGCTTTCATGGGGTTTCTTGTGTGAGATGCTCCTGAAGCCCCACTCTCGTCCAGTGGCAGACAGACTTTTGCTACAGGGCAGAGGGAGCAAGCTGTATGTGGACAAAGCATTGTTTCTGTCCTAAAATCTCTTGCGTTGTTGCGGCTTCAGGAGATTTGTTTCTTTGTTCGACTCGACAACAAGTTCCCATATTGGAACAATTGCAATAATTCACAAACTCTACAACTGATTATTTGTAGAATGAAGATAAAGTACACTGAATAACAAAGCTATACTAAGACAATCCTTAATCAAATCGACTCTTATTTAAAACCAATATGATGCATCAAGCCCGATAATCACCAAACCATCACTCATCCAACCAAACCAACAACCACTACAAGCAGATCCACACCAGAAGAGGTTAAGTAACTTGTAAGGAATACACATTCGCCCCTCAAACCCCAAAAACAAAACAAAATGTGCATCCTCCACGTCACCAACCTCTACTGCAACTGCTCCATGAGGGACACCAACCGCTGCCCCCATTTCAACTACATTCGCATCCCCACCCAAGCTCCTTCTCTTCCCACCACCCCCGAGCCGACAGGCTACTACCTCCGCCGACCCCGCGACTTCCAACGCTGCGACCGCTGGGAGCCCCTGCCTGCCAACCAGACCTGGGAGCACTGCTCCACCTTCATTCGGGACCATCTCACCAACCCATTGGCCTGCCCCGAGACCGTCACTGCCGGCGATGGGCACATCAGGGCTCGTTCGCGGAGGGACAAGTGCGAGTACTGTGTCAACGGGCACCCTCCTATTCCTGCGGGGAGGAGGAATGCGATTGCCCCTCAGGGTCCTCTTCTTCCCACGCAAGAGCAGGAGACGACTAGTGAGGGTGAGGGTGAGTGGAACAATCTCTTGCCGAGGAATGTGGGGACGGAGGAGTATAACCCTTGTTTGACGTATGATACTTGGGATGCTTTGATGGGTAACTAGGTACCTAACTACAGGTAACTGGTCGAGTGACTGGGTGCTGGTTATTAAGGTATTATACATACCACACAAAACACCGATAGGTAAGGTAGGGTAAGTGGGCTTCTCATTTCATAAATAAATTACTATCTTTTTTGCTAACAAACTTATTTTCCTCCTTCATAACTAACTGTGCAAAAATGTGATCTATGCTGTGAACAAATTGATCCTGTGACATGTCCCAACAAAATGCCCATCAAGACTAGCTGCAAAAAATGGGCGTGTTCTGAAGATTCGACACCGGCGAGACACCTCTTATTCAGTAACATGAATGATACTGATTGATATTTGGACAAAAATGAACCAAAAATTAAAGGAGTGAACTGCGCGATCCGAGATTCGAACTCGGGTCACTCGCTGTTTGTTTGCCTAGAAAGACAATGGGAGGCGAGGATTCTAACCACTGAACTAATCGCGCCTCCGTTGGCTCGGTTGTTGAATACTGTAGGAAAGTGATTTGGGGCTGATGTGCTGTTTGGGAGGTAGCTGAGTGAATGTGACTTCCCGGTTGGGAGGAGAGGAAGGAGAATTAAGGTAGGAAGGTGTGTTCTGGGGATTGAGGTTTGATGAGGAAGGCATTTGTTGAATGCTGGCCGGCGGAATCATTGTCTGCCTAGGTATCAAAGCTGAGAGACCCCTCAATAAGGCGTCGATAGACATCTTTTACTCATTTCATCTGGATGGGATTAACCTCCATGAACATAAAGCCCCGTCCCTCTCCCCTTCCACAAATCTCTGCGCCTTGCTCCAACGCATCGATTGACACCTTGAGCGGCTTCATTTACTTCAACCGCTTCCAATTTTTATCCTGGAAAATCTTGTTAAAGGCTACCGTGATAAACGTGGGCCTCTGCAAGCAGGAGTCCTTCCACTCGTCCTCCTTATCCAACCGCAAGACCAACCAACCCTTTTCCAAGTATTCTTCGCGTTGTTTCATCGGACCGCACCTTATTATAGAAGTATAAATACTTAGTCTAGGGAATTAGAAACTGGTGGCATGTGTGATTCCATCCTGTGTTTGGACATGTCATCCATCGCGAGAGATGTTGGTTATGTACCTAGGTATCTACAAGTTCCCAATGATAGCCTGATAAGCATGCGGCAAGGCCTCAAGTTCTGGCCTTATTACCCTTACTGACACGTGGGAGAAATACCGAGAATGCGATGAGTGTTTGCCCCCCTTATCAGAAGAGCGCGCTTGTTTGGAGTGGTCTGGCCAGCGACCAACGCCAGTTCACGGCGCAGACGCTCCCTCGCGCGCTTCACTTGGGTGGGGCTGTAACATCACCACCGCAGCTGTGCATTTCGATTTGCAAACAGAGAAAGACTCGGGGACCAAACGAAAAGTGACTGACCGTGTTCGTCTGGAATGCACACGAGAGCTTGGTGAAGATTAAGCTGTCGTTGGACCCCACTTCAAGCTGCAAGTTTGAGCAACAGCGGAAGGTGGGGGTTCTTTGCTGAATGCGACCTGCAGAGCCCTGCAAGCCTCCAGTCACTGATGAAACTGAATATTGATCACCGGGTCAGTTGGGTCTTCCCTGAGCTAATTAACAGATATGAGATGAGTTAGCGTTTTTGAGAAGATCCGAAGAGTTATACATTACTTGGAGTGATGATACTCCGTATTCACATGACCAATGTCCGCTGCTCATGTTCGCTTTTTGAAAAATGAGGTTCAAAATGGCTGTGATGGGAAATTGCCCGTGCGGTCCCCTCCAAGGAGTGGGGCAAGCTAATTCAAACTTTGTGGGGTTTCTTTCCTTGTGCCGCAGAACCCCTCCACTGTTCAAGTGCCTGAAACTTTGCTGCCTGTCACCAACATCAGCCGCGGCAGCGAGAAACCAACATTGCCAGCTTCCTCTTTCAACCTGGCGCCAACATTTTGCTTCTGAGGATACGAACAGACACAGACACAACAAGGGACAATGGCATCCGTATCACCGTCAGCACGCAGCCCGAGTCGGCCCGCTCTTCAACCTCCCCCCAGCTGCTTCAGCCCTAAATGATGCTCGTTGGTCCTTCCCATTAGGTCCGAATGTTCGGCTACGTACACTGCCACGGACATCTTACTGCGTACATAAACTACGACAAACCTGAGTGGAAGTTGATGTCAATGGGGGTGTGGGACAAACATCCAGAATCCCACCACCACGAAGGAAACACCATCTCGAGGCTCGACCTCGAAACAGCCGCCAGCCGCGGGCGCTAAAGCTACCCTGCACAGCTAACCCCTTTCAAGCATTCTTGGCAAGTTGGCTCGCGCTAATTCAATCTTCAGGGCGTTGGATTTTGCGTTGCGCCAACGCCAACATTGCTCACCCTCTCACCCGGACACCGCAAGACTCAAGAATCAACTCAGCCACCGTTGAGATGCGTGCATTCGCTTCCCCACGATACAAGTGACTGCCGAAGTCACTGCTTACCAGCCAGATCGGCTGACGCGGGTATCACCCTTTTCAGCCCCAGTCATCAGCGGAAAATTGCTGGTGTTTTTTCAAGGTCCGTCGCAACATGTTGCTGTTTGGGGGCGCTCCGGGGGCGGCCCAGCGAAATAAATCACCAAGGCCGTCGTAGCCTCTCTTGTGTATCCATCCCCTCCGACCCGGCTTGCGAGACGTTCGTCCCAACTTTCCCGCTGCTTTTTCTTCAACACGACCCTACCCGTTATCTCAACGGCAGTGTACCGCCGTAGAGAGTCCCCGAACCAGCCCATGTTACCATGCACACTCATGGTGTGCCGGCCCCGGCTTCCAGGCCGGATCTGGCGATCGCCCAAGGGGGTCATGCAGCCCAGAGGCCGAGCTCAGCATGCCCCCATCGTGATTGGACTGGTCGCCATGATGACGGGGGAGCTGGCAAGGCTCCCTGCCACGACCGCCGTGGTGCTCAGTTTCGTCCCCTGCGGCATCCATCGTCGCTGTGCCAAGGTCGCAAGAGCGGCGTGGTTGTGTCGTGCACTCCAGACCACAGCCCACAAATACGCAAGCTCTCAGCAGCAGCAAAAGACATTTCACACATGCAACTCTGCGGCCAACACTGCTGATACGTCTCGGCCACACTGACACCTCTCGCCGTCCTCGTGTGCGTGCTTGCTTGCTTGCTTGTTGCTTGCTGATTTTTTTTCTCCCCCGCCTTTTGCTGTCCTCTCCGACTCCAGGCTGCCATTCCGATACCCGAAAGAGGTGCTGCTGCTGATGTGCCACCAAGTCCCCTCGAGAGCGTCGAGCCAACTCCTTGCTGTGCCCCATGCGGCCCAGCGCCTGACGGCCCTTCAGCTCTTCTCCTTTGTTTGAGATACCCATTTGCCGTTTCTTCCTGTCCGCTGTTTATACCGACCCAGGCGCTGCTTGTCAGCATGGCCTCCCCCACGAGGTTCGCCGTTCCGCGCATCGACGCCTCGACTTCTTGGTTACTGCTCGAAGACGAACCCCTTGAGGCGCGTCTGCTTAGCGTGGTTGCTCAGGTTTTGGGGATTGAGACAGCAAATCTGCGAACACAGGCGTCCTTTAGAGAGTTGGGAGGCGACGAACAGAGCGCAGAAGCGCTAAGACAGGCGTGTCTAGATGCCGGGATGGATATCTCAGTGGACGATATTCTTCGATGTTCGACCCTCGCCGAATTACAAACATGCATAACTCCATGCGCCACGCCAGCACGAAATATCGACAATGAGACTGCCGAACCGCCGTTTTTTACCCTGCCCGACGTCCACAACGAAAACATGGCTCCGGATGGTATTGGAGCTCACTCCCGCAAGCCGAGCGAGGCGAGCCAGGCGAGTTCAGTGACAATAGGGAAGCAAAGAACAGAAATTGAGCAAGCGCTTGGGATGCAGCCAGAGATTGGGCGGATGGCCACTGTACGGCCAAAAGCTGGGTTGCTGGAAGGCAAACTGGTGGCTCTTCTCACCCTCGCTTCCATGCAGAAAGAAAAGACGGATTCCTCGCCGCTCGACCTCATTCCACAGTCACACGCCCTTTTCGCTGGTACGCAGGTTGCAAACTTGCGTCAAGTCGCCGAGTCAACTCTGCAACCAGACTCCGTACCAGATCTATGGATTGTTTTGGATGGGATGCCCATGACAAACTCGGGCGATGTTGATGTGCGACGGTTACGGACATGGGCCCAGAATATCAACGAGGATGTTCACCACCAAGCTCTCAGCTTGGAACTCCAAGAAACATTGCAAGCCCCGGCATCGGGGATGGAAAAGACGCTGCAGAGGCTAGTGAGCAAGATACTGGATGTTCCACAAAGTCAGATTGGTGTCAACTTCTCGTTTTCCCAATTAGGTGGCGACGAGATGACGGCGATGGAACTAGCTGCTCGATGCAAACACGAGTCTATCTATATTCACGCTTCCGAAGCCCTTGGATCGACAACGCTTTCCGAACTGGCGGCGATTGCGGCAACTCGCGGTGGACTGGCTCACAAGTGGGACGAAGAGACATCCGACGTCTTCGACTTATCGCCAATGCAGCACTTGTACTTCCAGACATCAATGGGCGGCGACTTGAAGCGGAGGGTTGGTATTGATGGGAGCTACCGTTATAACCAGAGCTTCCTCTTGAGGTTCAAGAAACACTTCAGCTTTGCGGATATTTCGGCAGCCATCGAGGCCATCGTTGGCCACCATCCTATGTTGCGCGCCCGCTTTGGCCGAGGCTTGAACGGATGGGTGCAGAGGGCTCTCCCAGAGGTACCAGGCTCATACACCATATCCCAAAACGCCATACGATCTGAGAAAGAAGCGGAGGAAATTATAGCGAGGACACAAATGTCCATCAACATTGAAACAGGACCGGTTTTCGCGGTTGATTGCTTTACGACCCAAGATGAGCAGCAATGGATATACCTAGCCGCCCACCACCTCGCAGTCGATCTCCCTTCTTGGCGCACCATCATCCACGACTTGGACGAGCTCCTGGTAAACGGTAGCCTTTTGTCGCAAAGGTCAATGCCGTTTCATAAATGGGTCGACATCCAGAAGGCTGATGCCAGCGGACCAGACCCAAGAGAACTGCTGCCCTTCCCAGTACAGCCCGGCGATTATGCATACTGGGGCCTGCAAGACGCCGCCAACACATATGGTGATGCTGTCGAAGTCGGCTTCTCACTTAGTCATGAACTTACCTCGATACTACAAACCTCATGCAATCAAGTTTTCCAGACAGACTCGGTCGACATTTACCTTGCCGCGCTCATGCTGTCTTTCGCCCAAACCTTTCACGATAGGTCTGTGCCAGTTATTTGGAACCAAGAGCACGGGAGAGACCCTTTAAACCCAGATGTTGACATCTCCGAGACAGTGGGATGGGTTTCTTCTCTTTGCCCAATCGGCCAAAAGGTGGAAAGCGGGGACGACTTCATCACAGTGCTTCGCTATCTCAAAGACACAAGACGAAACATTCCAGG